CCCTGCTGGCCATTGTGTGAGTCTGGACTGCCACGTGGGTGTTCTTTGTAACTTGGAAGAGGCCATCCTTACTCACTTAGTCACTCTGTTGCTTGGGCTCTGCATTTGTGTTGGGGCTGTTGGCAGGTTCCTTGCTGGGGTCCTTGTGGGGCTGTGTTGCAGAGGGAGCTAACTTGCAGGTGACTCTGGCAGCAAGATGGGACCAGACCCCCTTCACACTTCCTCGCCCAGAAAGGTGGACAATTTGGATGAGTGTCAGCTCAAGTGTGCAGTTTAACTTTTAGAATGCAAAGAAAACTACGTAGGGTTAGGGAGCCGCCATACCTGGTAGGGGGGCCTTGCTGGGGCTGATCTCTGCTTTGCCCTTGGTACCTATGTTTTACTGCCAAGTGGGCCAGGGCTGGTACCGAGGCTCTGAGTTTTCCAGCCTGTCCTGCTTTGGGAGGAGAAGTGTCCACTGAGAATCCCTGAGGGGCTCTTCTCCATGGCTAGATCCACACTGGCGATGCTTGGGCAAGAGCCATCCCAGGACACTTGCTGGTGCAGCTGTGGGCCCCACAGAGAACCGGCCCCCATTGAGCTGATGGAAGACGGGCAAGAGAACCTGGAGCATGTTGTCATGTGCAGGGGGATTCGAGAGTGAAGCAAATACAAGTTCTGAAGATGAGAAGTGTGTCAGTTGAAGTGGAATTCGGTGGCCATGTGACAGCCAGTAAGGGGACAGCTGAGGTAGCCAGAGTTGAGTGTAGGGGTGCTGTGACATGTAGGGGTGGGCTGGTGCTCACACCGCTTCTCCTGGGCACCCTCATGCCGGGGCCAGCCGGGTGGTGGAGGGGGAGCATATCTAGGGTATGCCATGCTCCTGGTCCAGGGCTGGGGATGGAGCTGGGAGTCTGCCTGCGCAGCCCCTCAGTGTTCCTGCATTCAGGGATCTGTAGGGTTAGGCACCTTCTTTTCCATAACTTAAAATGAAAAGGTGTGTTTACCAAAAGCCACCAGAGTAAAGGACAGCATAGGGCACTGCCAGGTCAGCTCTGACAGAGGGTCTGCTGCACAGGATCTGGGCCAGTAAAGCGGAGGGTGTCAGGGAGGGGTCCTGCAGCTTGGCAGCTGATGTCTGTCTGCACTTGCTGGAGGGTTGCCTGAGAAGCCCCGAGCTCTTGGTGCGTACTGTGGCAGTGCAGCCCCGGCACTTCCAACATGCCCCCCAGGGTCCAGCCCCGTGCCTGCTCCCACTGTTCAATAGCGGGCACAGGCTGAACTAGGAAGGCCTGTCCTCTGTGGCTTGGCTTACCTCTGCAGAGCAGTCTGTGGCTGTCTTGAAGTCAGGAGATGGCAGCCAGGAGTCCTGAGGAGCAGGAGAGAGCAGTCTTGCCCTCTGACCTGGGCCATTTCCCTGGTTGCTCTCACCACATCCCAGGGCCCCTTCTCCCCTGGCTCGTTGCCCTCCCATTTGGGCGTAGGGTGGCTGCTTTGGAAGAGCCGTGGTGGCGAGGTGGTGAGAGCCTTGTCGTGGGCAGGCCAGGGAGGAGCCCTGGGCTCCAGGCCCTACATCCAGAGCTTGTGTCCAGGCACCTGGGTGATGTGGACGGTGGGTGAAAGCCTGTTCGTAGAAGCTGATATTCTCAGGCCAGAAATGCCTGCTGGTTTGTTGTGCAGCTTCCGAGGCTCTACATTTTGGTTTAAAATGCGGTAAAGAGTGTGGTTGATCGAAGGGATCAGGAACACGGTCAAGTCGGTAGAGCACTGGGCTTTTCTGATATCTAGTGCTTTAGGGAGGGCAGGATTCATTCCCTCTTCCTGGGACCTGTGATTGTGGGTAGGGGCATGGGCCTTGGAAGAGTTGGTAGGCCTGGGAAGGGACCAAGGGAGAAATGTGGAGGGCCATCCCGGAGAGGCCGCTGCCCGTTGCTGGCCTCCGCACAGGTGGCCTTGGAAACTGCTGGTGGAGGGCTTTGCTCTGAGTTTAAGATCTGCATGTTCAGGTGATGAAAAGTAGGGAATTAGCTTGCGTTTTCACCAAAAAGGAAGTCGTGGATAGTTGTGGATCTTGTATTGTGTCACGTTTTGTAGCCACGAGAGTCATGTTTCTGAAGAATGTTTAATTATGTGGAAATGCTCAAGAGCAGAGCAGAGAGAACACCAGACTGATACCCACAGTGCCTCAGTCCCCTCATGGTCACCCAGAGGGTGCTTGTGCTCACCCACATGCAGGGAGGGTCCTAGGGAGTATCCAGCTGTATTGACCAGGGGTGGGGGCCGTTCCAGGAGATGCCTGTTTTCCTTGTACTTTTTCTCATTTCTCAAAATTTCTACAAAGAACACTCCATTCTATACTGAGAGAGACTAAATTCATTAAAAAGGAAATCTCAAATTGTTCTTTTGGTACCATCTGGATGTGTGACATTTCTTGCTCTCCATGTTGGCTGAGTGTACATTAAGGTCAGGAGCCCGGAACCTTTGGGGGCCCTACCACACCCCTTCCCATGAGCCCTGAAGTGGCCTCTGAAGGTCTCTCAGGTGGACCTGGAGTGTATCGCTCCAGCCTCGACCTTCCCCTGGTTTGGGCTGAATGAGTGGAGCTGTGTGCTGTCTGCTAGAGCTGTCCTCCTTGCTGTTGGTCCCTTGCACAGGTGCAGGAAGGGCCTGCATTGGGGGTCTGACTGAAGAGCCAGGTGGCTGTCCTCTAGGAGCTCTGAGGGAGCCCCCTGCCTGCTGGCCTAGATACCCTGTTTGGAGTGAGGCGAGGACCACACCTGGCCAGTTGTGCATGGTGGCTGGTTCTTCCCAAACAGTATGCATGGGGTGCCCTGCAGGTACAGACGGCTGGCGAGTGGTGGGGAGGACTGACCAGTGCTTTGGTAGGTCAGACGTGGCGGCTACTGTTCCACGCTGCACTCTGAGACGAGGGAGTTTCTGTGGTCTTGAGTGTGTGCCAGGCATGTCTGTTGGAGAGCAGTGGTGGGAACCTGAGTCCACACACCCAGGCCACAGTGCTCCATGCAGCTGTTGGCCGCCCACTCCGCTTCACAGCTGTGTCTGCCTTCTTGTCATCCCACGGTTGTGGTTGTGATGTGCTGTAACTGGGGACACTTCAGATGGCCCTGGGAAGCAGCTGCACGTCTGCTCACGGGGCTTCCTCAGGGGTCAGCTGTGGTTGTTGGGCCTATGGCTTTAAAGTCTGCATGGCGCCTTCCAGACCCGTCCTTCCCTTTGCTTACACATTTGGACTCAGTTACAGATATTTTTAATGCCGGAGACAGGCACAGGTACTTGCTTTAAGTCACATGGCAGGACTTTGGATTCATCCTTCAACTTTGCCCTAACCATGGCCACACTGGTCCTGTCTGTAGGCACGCTGGCCGTGTCTGCAGTGTGCTGGCCGTGTCTGTAGGCCCATCTCATGGCTGACAGTTGGCGACATCCAAAATGCCACTTACTTTGTTGCTATTTCACCAATGTTTTAAAATATTTCTTTGAATTTCCATGGATATAATTTTTTAAGGAAAAGGGCTTCTGTTCATTCACTAACTGCTCAGTTAAGAATTCTAAGTTGGAGCTGAAGCCGAGGTTGTTGTGATGCCCTCTTTGGCTGCCTTGCCACGGTGCTTGGTGAGCTCCTAGCTGGACGGGAGGGGGGTCTGCAGTGGGTGGGTAGATGCAGCAAGTGGCTTTCACCAAGGCTCCTCTTGTTGTGTTGGACAGTTTTGTTCTCCCTTGTGACTCCTACCATCTCTTACCTTGCAGCTGGCTGGACACCTGGCCTTAGCGCCCTGCTCAGGTGCTGAGCAGGTGGAGAGACATGGTCTCCCTACCTGAGCTCCAGGCCTTTCCTCCAGAGCTCTGAGGTGGAGGCTGCACTAGAGTGGGTGTCTCGGCAGCTGGGTCCAGGCTTCTTTGTGTGATTTCAGCATGGTTTATTTCAAAGGGATGTTTGGAGGGACGCTCTCTTAATAGCATCAAGTGTGGCTTTTTGGGTCAGGACTCTAGAGGTGAGCCCAGGAGAGACCCCGCAGTGTCAAAGCTCTTCTAGCACCGAGGCGGCTGGGTTCTGGTTTCCCATGGGAGAGGCCTGGCCTGCGGGGGTTGCACCTCTGTCTTGGTCCATTGCCCTCACTTCCCTGTTTTCCAGCTGGGCCATGCAAGGATGCCAGTATTTTCCTGAAGCTCAGAGGCAACCTGTAGTAGGAGAGTAAATGTGAACACTGGTTGTGTTTCCGTTTCAGATGCACTTACGACATCACTGGTTGCTGCTTTGAGGCTATAATTACTGCCCAACCTGACTGGTGGGATTTGCTGCTTTCCTAAGATTTAGCTGAAGAACCTTGAAGGGCGAGGGGTTCTTCCTGTCCTGCCTGTGGCTTGTGGGTGTCCCAGGTCAACTGTGAAAGAACAGTACTGCCCACACCTCCCCAGAGCAGTGTGCCTACCCAGAGCAGTGGACCCTGCTCTCTCTCTTCTGCTTTGTTCGAATGTCCTAGGACACAGGTTGGGGAAACTTGGCAGGACTGCAGCAATAGTCGTGTCCTGTAGGTGCAGCCAGGCACCCACAGCTGGCAGGGGCAGGACCCCTGGCACAGCAGGCATACTTCAGTGCCTCAGACAGAGGTGGGTTGCGAGGTGGATGGAGCAGAGTGTCCCAAGGATGTGGGCTTGAGGTACCAACAGAGCTGGCCCTTCCTTTGAGGCAGAAGCAGAGCTGTGACACTGGCTGGCTCAGGACAGTGGCAGAGGCGGGTGCACCCCGCACGGTGGAGGGTGCGTGCTTGTGCAGGCTTTGGCATCTGCAGAGCAGGTGGCTGCTGGGGCGGACGGTGTGGCTGTGCCGCCTGGCTGCTGTGTTAAGGCAGGCTCTCAGGTTCTTCTAGCACCTCCGACAGTCTGTCCTGACTCCACCCTGCTGGAACCTGCATGTGTGTTCCTTTGCAGACCCTTGTGAGGGGTGTCCTTTGCACAGGGCTGAGGAGCGTTTCCTGATGCGCAGTCTCCTCTGTCCCCAGGAATGGTCCTTGTGCGGAGCGAGAATGGGCAGTTGTTAATGATTCCTCAGCAGGCCCTGGCCCAAATGCAGGCCCAGGCCCACGCCCAAGCCCAGCCTCAGAGCACCATGGCGCCCCGCCCTGCGGCCCCCACAAGTGCCCCTCCCGTCCAGATCTCCACCGTACAGGTGAGTACATGAGGCCTGCTGAGTGGCTGTCCCAGGCTCAGCCTGCCCCTGCCCTGCTCCATGCCACCATGCACGCTGAGGAGGCCGTGCCACAGGTCAGGTGTTCTGTGCCAGTGGGCACCAAAACGTGTGGATGCCTTCTGACCCACCATCAGGTGGGGCCTGGGTTGGCACCACCTTCTTCCTAGCCCAGGGCTGTGCTGGCTCAGAAAAACCCACTCCTGCAAACTGAGCTCAGCACAGCTGACTGAGTGGGGTTAGAGTGGGTTACTCAGGGTCATCTGCCGGACTGGTCCTTGGCCCTTATTCCTTGCCTCTTGCAGTTCACCTTTTGGTGCCTTGGTTTCCTCCTCCGCAGAGTGGAGATGGCATCAGCATGCACATAGCTCGAGGGACTGTTGAGGGCTGAGCCACAGTCAGCTACTGAGTCATGGAGCAGAGCAAGGGCCGAGAAAGTCCAGGCCCCTCTTGTGGGGCAGCATGTGGGCTTCACAGGGCTGCCCCCACATCTGCCCTCTGAGCTGTGGGCAGGATGGGCACTGATGCTGAAAGCCGAGTTCCCGGCTGTGTGCTTCCCAGTGCCTGATGTCCTGTCCATCCCCATAATGTCTGTGGGCACATGCCGTTTACTACCTGCTCCCACCTGGTGCAGTGGCCACATTCAGGCTGGTTGGCAGGCTGGCAGATGAAGTGAAGGAGGACGTTCCTGGCTCTTTCCTCTGTGACTCGGCCGTGCTCCTCTGGGGGGGGGGGTGCCCCTGTCCCCTAGACAGGGGTGTGTTCATGCTGCAGATGGATGTAGGCCCCCAGTATCTGAAATAGTGCAGGGTGGCACCTTCCAGGCCAGCGTGTCCTGTCTCTGAGCAAGAAGCTCTTGGACAGCATTTATGGCTTGGCTTTGCTGGTGGGCTCTGCTGCCACCGTCTGACTGTCCTACTGCAGCTGTCAGCTCTTCTCCAACCTCACTGCAGCCGGGAGGTATCTCTGCCCTGGCCCTCCCCTCCACGCTGCCACAAGGACCCCCTGTGGTGGGGATCAGCAGCACCCCGAGACAGCAGTGCACAGCTGGCTTCCCTACGGTTGCTTTTGTGCAGAGGTCCCGTTACGTAGGCTTGTCAGAGTCTCCTGGTGTCTCAGGAGAATCTAAGAAGAGCTGTTGACCATAGGCTTTTGCCTTGGTGAGAAAGCTGTAGACAGGAGCTTTTTACACTGCTCATTGTGACTCCGCTGTGGACCCACCTGAGTGCATCAGTTAGCGTCAAGGATTGGTTTTTGTGTGCATTGGGTGGCTGTGGAATCACTTTCACATTAGCTTGTTTTACACGACAACTTATTTTCAGGCTCCTGGCACACCTATCATTGCACGGCAGGTGACCCCCACTACAATAATTAAGCAAGTGTCTCAGGCCCAGACGACGGTACAGCCCACTGCAACCCTGCAGCGCTCCCCTGGGGTGCAGGTAAGAGACAGCAGCCCGGCACATCTGTGGGGCTCTTGGACACAGTGTGGGTTTTCTTTGCAATGACCAGGCCTTGTGAGTTTTTATTTTGGATACCAAGCTGAATTTAAACAGGAAGGCTCTCTGGGAGGAAAGGGACTGTTCTTTACCTACTAACTCAGAATAGATCAGGGTTCATTTTTCTTTAAAGCTGCATGGAATGTAACACCAACAGCACTTGAGAAGCTTCCCACAAGGCCGAAGCTAAGATCCATGGCCTTAGTAAGTTGCCTGAGACCCAGCCAGGTGTACTTGCAGAGAGCGTGTCTGCTGCGCGGCTCCTCTGTGCAGCACCTTGGTGCTCACGGTGCTCTCGTGCTGGGGACATGGGCACTCTTCTCATCCTGCTGCTGAGGCATTTGCAGGTGAGCTGAGGGAGCATTTGAACCTGCTGCTGTTCTCCTGGCCAGGGTCTGCTCCAGCTGTGCGCCAGCTACCAGGCTGCACTGCCTCCATGTGTGTGAGCTCTGGCCTTTGCCAGGATGACAGCACAGTTCTGGAAATGTTCATCAACCCTAGTGGGTTGTTTTTAAAATAGTGTTTAGGCTGTGGGAGAGGAGAGTGCTCTGCTGCTGCTGGTCCAGTGGTGTGTGTTGATGCTTCTGACAGACTGGCCTCTGGCCCCACCTGTAGAGAGGCTCTGTGTGGCAGCCTAGCTGGCTCCTGTTACAGAGGCAGGGAAAAGTCTGGCCAGGGAGGCCCACCTGGCCAGGGAGCCACCTGAGTAGGGAGGCAGTACTCTCTGGGACTCAGGTGGGAGCAGCTGGAGCATGTGGCTCAGAATCTTTCCTGGTCTGGTGTTTGTGGGTGTCCATAGTCATAGGGCCCTGCAGCGTTGATGCTGGGTGCAGCTCCTGCCCGCTGACCTGTGGTCTGCACAGCAGTGCAGCCGTTACAGTGTTCCCCGTCTTGGGGGATGGGGCAGGGGTCCTAGTGCAGCCTGGCCCCGGGCCCCCTTTGTCTCTCCTGAGCCCGTCCCTCGTTCCCACTGGTGGCTGTGGGAGTGCAGGCTGAAGAGCAGCTGAGCGGAGCAGAGTAGGACAGGGGGCTTCCCAGGAGGAGTTTCCGCCCTGTCCTTGTCACTGCCTTTCCCTGGTGGGTTTCTGAGACGGAGTGAAGTTCCTGGTTGAGATGTCAACTTGGGTTTGGTGAAGACAAGATCATTGAAGGAGGGAGGCTGTCCGGGCACCAGCTGGGGGGATGGGTCACTTGTCCCAACAGGCATCTGCCCTCTCCCGCTGGCTGCCTGGTCTGCCCTTGCACGTTTTCTTTGTGAAGTGTGCTGTTTGGTGGATTCTGTGAGTGAAGGCAGTCCACCCTTGCTGCTGTGGAGGAAGCCTGCACAGAGGCCTCGCCTGCCCGCCAGCGCTGGACACTCAGCCTTGCACTGCCCTCTGTCTTCAGAAAAGAGCAGTGTTTTAAAAATTGGAGGAATGAGATGGTGACAGTTAGATTTATAAATTGGAAAAGCACTGATTTTTTAAAAAAAAAAGCAGTCAATATTTGTATCACAATTTTTCATGTAAACTAGAAATTTTGGGAGTTTAGAGATCTGAGGCCCAAGGTGGGAGCTGTCATGCCATGTGAAGTCTGGCTTCCCCTTTGCTTGGTGTGTGTCCCTTTGTCTGGCAGAGGTGCCCTTGCCCACCAACAGTGTGCTGGCACTGACCACCAGTGTCAGATTCCTGTGGCCCCTTGTGGGGAGCGGGGGAGATGGGCTTGGTGTCGAGGGGAGCTGGGACTGTGCCTGCCATGGTGGCTGGCCGCTGTGTGAGGTTGCAGTTGAGGAGTGCTCCCCTTTCTTGCCCACTCTGAGGAGGGCATGGTGGTCACCGAGATGATTCATACTGCCACCATGTGCCTTGTACTGGTGCGTCGTCCTGACCAGTTCTAGACACCGGAGGGCAGCGCGTTCCCGTGGCGGGTCTCCAGGCGTGCGTCCTGTGGCATGGCCCTCAGCTATCCGGGTCCCCCCTCTGCAGGAAGCCTTATCTTTCACCGGCTTTGGCGGCATGGGAGGCACTCACCTCGTGCTTTGGACTCTTGCAGCCTCAGCTGGTCCTGGGCGGCTCTGCCCAGGCAGCTTCACTCGGGACGGCCACAGCTGTGCAGGCAGGGGCACCTCAGCGCACGGTCCCAGGGGCAGCCAGCGCCTCCACAGCTGCCACGGTAAGACCGCTTCTCCTCAGTTCTCCCAGAGCCACCTGCTGCTCACCAGCCAGAGCAGGGCTTTGAGCCGCCCTGGGTTTCTGTCCCAGACTGCCGGCTGGGACGCAGAGGGCCCCAGTCCCATTCCTGCCAGCTCGCAGCACTGGCACACGGAGGCCTGCAGCTGTAGGAGCGTGAGGCAGGCTCTGCTGTCTGTCCTCTCTGCCTCCACGAGGGGCACTTGAGGGCAGGGGCCACTGAGGGGTGGCAGGAAAGGGCCCCAGTCTTTCCACTCGAGGTTTCAGACAGTACAGACCTGGGAATGGCAAAAGCCTCTGCAGTCACGTTTGACAAAATGACATGTGGCCACAGGGCACTGCAGGCTGTAGAAGAGCCCTGCTGTCTGTGTCCTCTGGACCTGGACCTTGGGCAGCTGGCATGGTGACTTAGACCTTGCTTCCTCGTGCTGCTTTGCCGAGTACTTTCCATGGATCTTAGTGGCTGCCTTGGAGTTGGGACCTGTGTAGGGATGGGATCGGTCCCTCTCGGTGGTCAGCAGCACCAAGGTGAACGTCCTGCAGCTTCCTCTTGTCGCACTCTGGTCATCTCAGTTGCCTTCCTAGAGGGAGTTCCTGGGCCAGTGCGAGGCAGGCGTGTGCCTGTGGGGGCTGTGCCCAGCAGCAGCTCCGAGGGGCAGCTCACCTCCCTGAAAGCAGCTTAGAGGCAGCGTTTACCTCTCTTTTCCAGGTGTGCACGTTTTGGCTTAACAGAGGTCACGGTGAAAATCTTTGAGTTTTTACCTTATTTCTTTTTTTTTGAATCCAGGAAACCATGGAAAACGTGAAGAAATGTAAAAATTTTCTGTCTACGTTAATAAAACTGGCTTCATCTGGTAAACAGTCCACAGAGACAGCAGCTAACGTGAAAGAACTGGTGCAGAACTTACTGGTAAGGAGTGCGGGGAGTGCCCTTGCCTCACGTTGGTGTGACGAGCACAGAGCAGCTGTGCCCGGGTGCTGCCCAGCCTGCCATGCGCAAGCCAGTGCTCTGACATCTCCTGCTTGAGGAGAATGGGCCAGCGTTGGAGGGGGTGTGATGGGCCCTTCTCCGAGGCAGGTGGCTGTCACTTGAGTGTGTGACGTCTCGGGAGGAGGAACGAGACTGAAGATGCATGTCTTTAGGGGTCTGCCTTCTTTCTCTTCCCTCCCCCACTTGTTCTGCTTTTAAATGGAGAGTTTCAAGCACTTCGTGAAGTAGGAGCGGCGTCTTCTCCAGCCGTCTTTCCCAGGTCATGTGCAGGGGGTTGCATCTGCGCCCACCCTGGCCACCTCCTGCACTCCCATGCCTTGACTGACCCAGGGCAGTCTCTGATGGGTGTGGGCACACTGACACAGGCGGAGTCCTCCGCTGCTGCGCACCTGGTCTGTATCCCTTCCCAGTTTCTGTGAAGTCAGGATGCACACTAGGTCCAGGTGTGCGGGCGGCGCTCTCTGAACCTGAGCACCTCCGTCCTCTGGCTCTTGTTTCTTTCCTGGGTTTATTTTTGAGGAAACTGGTTGTTGAACATCTCCTGGACTTTCAGAGTCCTGCATTTTCTTTCTGCTGGTGCAGTTTGCTGGCCTAGACTGAACGCACAGCTGGACTGCCGGCCGTCTCTCCCAGAGGGGGCTGCAGGGGAGGCCGCCCCGGCAGCCCAGCACTGCAGCCTTGTTGGGCTGAGTCCTTCTCCACCTGCTGCTGCTCTTCACTCCTCAGCTGTCTCTAGCAGTTGCCCCCAAAGCACTGCATCCTTCCCAGGGCCCCAGTGGCCCCGTCCACCCTTTCTAACATGACCTCTTTGTAGCCCAGGATGCTACTGGCCACCACCTCTGACCTGTCACTTAGGGCTGGGTTTGGCTATCAGCAGCGAGTAGCCTTGAGTACAAGTGGCTCTTGACAGGAGAGGCTCGTCCTCCTGTGACACTCCCAGTGCTCCCTGCCGGGTAGTCCCTTGTCTGGCTGCTGGTGCTTCTGCTTTGGCAAGAGAGCTGGTGTCCTCCAGAAACCTGCCCTAGTCATGGCGTCTGTCCCCAGACTCTGTGTCGGGAGGACCCTGGTGGCTGTCTCTTCTCCTTGACCCACGAGCCCCAGGTCCCAGATTTTCACAGACACAGGTGCTCTCGACAGCCCACCTTTGCTGTGCCCACTGCCACCTTCAGTCCAGGCTCTCCAGCCCTGGGAGGACGCAGCGGTGCTCCCAGGCCTTCTCCTGCCCCTCTGCCCACTTGCCCACGCTGCAGCACAGCAGAGAGGGGCATGAGGTCTACTTCCTGCCTGTCTGGTTGGATTTCCTGGCCTTTACATAAAACTCTCTTGAAAATTTCTGGAACAGAATTGTCCCTGTCTCTCTTGTGGGCCCTCATGCCCCTCCTCTGATGCCATGCAGGAGTAGGCACGTAGCCAGTCCCTCCTGCCAGGTGTCCTGACCCTACCTGGGCTGATGCTGTCTGCATGGCCTGTGCTCCCTGTGCTCACAGCCGTGGCTGTGATAATGAAGTTGTCTCAGGCCCATCTGTCTCCCAGCCAATGCCTGGCGTCCACGGGTTGGGGTGTAAGCACTGAGGGAAAACAGTGGTTGAGTAAGAAACTTGTGGACACGAACCTGGCCAGCCAGGGATGTGGCTGAGTCCTGGGTGAACACCTGCCCTGTGCGTGGGGGGCCCAAGTTTGCTGCGTGTGGCACGCTAACTGCCCTGCTGCTGCCAGTGTGGAGTGATGTGGAGTAGCAGCGGGTGCGTGCAGCTGCCTCACTGCAGGGTCCATGTGGGTTGTATTTTTAAGGATGGGAAGATCGAAGCCGAAGATTTCACTAGCAGGTTATACCGAGAACTCAATTCTTCACCTCAACCTTACCTCGTGCCTTTCCTGAAGGTGAGTTAAAGCCGAGCACCTGCAGTAAGGGCAGAAAGTCAGTTCTGGTCCAAAGGAGCTTTTCCATAACCCTGAGCCCTGACACTGGTCGGCCATTCTGCTGCACCTGGGTGGAGAGAAGCGCCCCTGCTTCCTGGGAAGTGGGGTGCTTCACCAAGTGGGGATACCCTGGGTGTGAGATTGTCTTAGGTGACCATTGCTGGCATTACATTTAAGGCTTTTAAAAAACACTGGGGATTTTGTTGTTTGTTTTGTTTTAGTCAGTTCTTCACAAGCACAGCCCTGCTTGGGGGGAGGCAGGGTTAGTGAGGGGTTCTGCCGCAGGCTCTGTTGAGCTGGAGGAGGGTTCTGAAGTTAAGGATTGAACCTTGCGCTTGAGCTGCCCCTGACCTCTGTCATCTGTCTCCTCCAGAGGAGTTTACCCGCCTTGAGACAGCTGACCCCCGACTCCGCGGCCTTCATCCAGCAGAGCCAGCAGCAGCAGCCACCCGCCTCACAGGCCACCACCGCACTAACGGCCGTGGTGCTGAGCGGCTCCGTGCAGCGCACGGCCGGCAAGACGGCCGCCTCCGTGAGCAGCGCCCTGCAGCCCCCTGTCATCAGCCTCACGCAGCCCACACAGGTGGGCCCTGGCAAGCAGGCACAGTCTGCACCGCTGGTATGAAGGCGCCAGCCTTGCTGGTCCTCCGCAGTGCCTACCCACGCTCCTGCTGGCCTCTTAAATACCGCCACGGCTCAGAGAGCCCTTTCCTTGGGCAGGTGGGGAAGCTTCCGCGGGGAAGCAGCTTGGGTGTTATCTCCAGCGTAGACCATAGCCGGCAGCAGAGGCCCCGCAGTTCTGTTTGCTTCCCAGTCAGGTGAACCATGCTCCCTGGCACTGGCAGGCCTGCCACCTCCCGACACGGGGCATAGTGTGTCTCTTAGGTGGGTGCCCTCTTTGGTTAGGGAAGCCTTGGCGTTGGGCGTGGGGCCAGAGGTGGGGTGAGCTCTCGTCTGGACGGGGTGTCCGGCTGGTGTGCTCTGGGGGTGTGCAGGTGGACCTGGGCTGCTGACGAACAGCTCCTCTCTTCCAGTGTGGAGCTGGCCCAGCTTCCGTCTTGAGGCTGCGTTCTCCACTGGAGCAGAGTGGTGTGTGCTTCCCCTGTAGGCAGGTGACTCCTCAGAGTAGAAAGGCAGTTTTTACACAATTCGAGAGGCTCTGTCCCTCTAGGAGCGGCTGGACAGTGACTCCCCAAGCTCCTGGGCCTCGTAGCAGGCTGTGTGCTGCCAGGCAGGCCAGGCTCTGCGGTGCCCACTCAGTGCTTGGCCTTTGCATTTGGTGGGCCTTCCTGCAGTGAGAGCAGGGTGAGGTGTGGAGGAAGGGAAGTGGGCATGGTAGGGCTGTTCTCCGCCCCTGGGGTCCCTGTTGGGGATCGTGTGCCCTTTGCTTTAGCATTGTGTAAGGATGGAATCGTCCTATTCAGTCACTGCAGCTGACTGGCCCACAAGGTGAACTCTGTTGAAGGAAGACTTTGTGGGCTGTCTCTTTATTGGGAAGTTTTGGCCTCTGGCCCTCGATTATTCCAGTAGCATCATAAACTTTCCTCTTGGAAGTGTGCTGTGCTCAGCAGTAGGGCTGCAGTCTACGTGTGCAGCTGACTGGCCGGGGGATTTGATTTGTCTGTTTCACACCAAGGCCTGAGGTGGTGGTGGGGGCTTTTTCTGGTGCTCTGCAGGCTCCTTAGTGGAGCTGCTTGGGACTCAGCCTGTCTGGTGTGAACCTGTATGTTTCCTTGCAGAAATGGCTCCTATGCAAAACGCTCCTTTAACCCAGCCCGCCCCCTCGTCCCCTGCGACTACTTCATGTCATAGTGTGCACATACTAGGGCACCTTTTTCAAAGTCAGAAACACCTAGCCAAACACCTAGCCCCCAAAGGTTTGCAGCAAGGCCATGTAGATCTGAGCCGTGTGTCCCTGCACCCCTGCTTTCTGGGGTAGGGTACAGTAAAGGACGTGGTCAGTACCACCAGCTCTGGAGCCTGCTGTGTTGACAGGGTCTGGACAGTGGAGTTGGCAGGGCCTGCAGTAGGGGAACTTGCCCCAGCACAGCCTGTGGGGTAGTAACAGGGAGCAGGCTGTGCCTGGAGCACAGGGCCCTGCAGAGCCAAGTTCAGGGGGAGCTCAGCCCCAGACCAACACAGAGGTCACCCATCTCAGGAAACTTAGCTAAGGAAAAACCATTCGCCTGTGGCCACCAGGCGGCAGTGTCACTTTGACAAGTGAGAGAGAGGTCTGATACTGCTGCCCTCCGGGATTGGTCTTGCCCTGTACAACCTGGGAGCAGCAGCCCTGGGCTTCCTCTCCCCTGCCCTGGCCCTGTGGACCCACGCACAGAGCGCTGGCCTGGGTTCTGGGGCCAGGCTTCTTCTGCACCCTGGGGCTGAGGAGCACAGGTGTCTTCCTAGAGCTTCTCCATGGGTGGGACGGGACAGGTGAGGGGACTCGGTACCCTTGGGAGTGTGCTCACATGCTGTACTCTGCTGGCTCTGCCCCAGGTGATCCAGCAGCCCCCGAAGCCAGGAGCCCTGATCCGGCCTCCGCAGGTGACCTTGACCCAGACGCCCATGGTCGCCCTGCGGCAGCCTCACAACCGGATCATGCTCACCACTCCCCAGCAGATCCAGCTGAACCAGCTGCAGCCAGGTGAGGGCAGGGCCAGCCTCAGTGGGGCCAGCCTCAGCGTGCTGCTGTCGAGGGGAGAGCGCGGCCTCAGGCCCACCATTGAAGATGGACTTCAGTGGTGGCATTTGTGATGTGTAGCCAGCACCATCACCAGTGTGGTTTGGAAAGTGACCTGTGTCAGTCTCTTTTCTGAGACTGGATCCCACTGTGTTGCCCGACTCATCCTGGCATGGGCAATCCTGGGCCTCAGCCTTCCGAGCCCCGAGCCTCCAGGGCATTCGCACACGCTGCCTTGTTGTCACTGCTTGTCAGCTGGCACTCCTGTGCTCCAGGAGGCTGGGGAAGAGAAATGCTCGGGATGGGCTTGGACTTTGGCTGCAGCCTGGCTTTCGAGCACGTCCCTTCCCTGGAGACTGAGGCGGGCTGTGCCTCTGCTACAGCCCCGCGCTCCTGTCCTTGCTTTGCAGTCCCGGTGGTGAAGCCCACTGTGTTACCTGGAACCAAAGCCCTTCCTGCCGTCGCCGCGCAGGCAGCAGCCGCACAGAAAAACAAGCTCAAGGAGCCTGGGGGAGGTTCGTTTCGGTAAGGATGAGCCTGAGCGCCCCAGGAGACCACAGAGGAGAGCCCCGTGCCCTTCACCACGCCCTCGGGGCTCCCGTGGGCACCTGGCAGCCACATCCTCAAGGAGTCTTTCCCTGATCCTGACCTCACATCGGTCGGAGCTGCAGCTGGGAGGCTTGCTTCCTCCCCCAGCAGGAGGGCAAGGTGCTGGCTGGCTGGCGCTGGTGGACATGCACTTTCATCCTGCCACAGCCAACGCTCCAGGTTCCCACCTCAGAGCCAGCACCTCATAGGCCAGGTGCTCACGGTGCCTCAAGGGGCTGCACTGCCTTGGTCTCTGCTAAGGGCCAGTCTGAGCATCCCCTAGAGGCACAGAGGCTCTTACAGGGACGTGTCCTAGAGCTATAAGCTAGCCTTCACTGTGACCAAGCAGAATGGCACTTCCCTTTCTCAGGTGTTCCAACCCTCAAGCCATCAGGCATGTAGGGCTGGGCAGCCCCAATGGTCCAGCAGGGGTGCTTGTCACCTGGTGGGAAAGGGAGGATGACCAGCTACTAAAAGGATCAGAAAAGTCAGTGAGCCACTTTCCTGGGTGCCTTGTCGTCTTGCTGTCCAGAAAGAGAGCTGGAAGTAGAGCAGAGGGGACGAGCTACAGACGGCTGATGGCTTTGATGCAGGATTGACATGTGGCAGCTCATACCTTAGGTCTGGTGAATGTCTGGTGCTCGACCTTGTCCTCCGAGAGCTGTTTTCTGTTGAAGGAGAGAGGGATGCGTAGCAAAGAGGCTGGTTGGGACTGGGCAAGGAAGGGTGTTGAGTAGAGGCCACCTGCCCGTCAGAGCAAGGCTCAGGCAGGAGCATGAGCTACCCAGGTGCCTCTCTCAGTGGCCACGGCCGGGGCTGTGAAATAGCAGAGGGCTGCCCTGGGGCAAGACGGAACGGAGCCCCTGTGAGGAAGCCAGACACTGGGTGGAGTGTGGCTGGGTGAGGGTTAGGGCCAGTACTCAGCCTCATAGTGGCTCCCTGTCAGATGCCCATCACCTGGGGAGGCACCACCCCACCCCGTAGCACCGGATAGGTATCAAGCTGAATGCTCCTGGGGTGGTGGTCGTGTGGGGGGGGCTCTGAGAGGGCTGGGGCTGCAGGTGGCTGGGAGCAGGTGTCCACATGGTGGGTGTCAGGTGGGCATCTTTCCTAAGTGGGAGAGTTGTTGGTGCTCTTCTTCGGAGAACCTGTGATTATTTTAAAAATAAATTAATGTTAGTGGTAAATGTTGTTTTGGTACCGGGGATTGAACTCAGGGACACTCAACTGCTGAGCTACATCCCCAGTCCTATTTGTATTTCATTTAGAGACAGGGTCATACTGAGTTGTTTAGTGCCTGGTTTTTGTTGAGGCTGGCTTTGAACTCACAATCCTCTTGCCTCAGCCTCCCAAACTGCTGGGATTACAAGCATGTGCCACTGTACCTGCCAACCTTTTTTTTTGTACTAGGAATTGAACCCAGCATTGTTTAACCACTTAGCTGCATCCCCAGCCCTTTTTATGTTTTATTTAGAGACAGGAGTTGTTGAGGCTGGCCTCAAACTTGTGATCCTTCTACCTCAGACTCCCGAGCTGCTGGGATTACAGGTGTGAGCCACTGTGCCTGGCTGGTGGTAACTTTTTTAAAAAGAAGGTTTCCCATGGTGCAAAACCCTCAAAGCAGTTGGTTTTTGCTGTCCTGGAGGTGGCGTGGACTCTGGTTGAGTCTCCTTCACAGCCACGTGCAAACTCAAGTTCAGCTCTAGGCCTGCACTGTGCTGAGTAAGGCAGAGAGGCTCCTCTGGAGAAGACAGGACCCAGCCAGCAGCTTCTTGTCCCCATGCCTGCTGTCACCAAGTCAGAGCCACCTCAGCCACCTCAGCCACCTCAGCGCTGCTCCTGATGACTTTCTGCGCAGCGTGAGTTATCTTTCCCTCTTTTTTCCAGGGACGACGATGACATTAATGATGTTGCGTCAATGGCTGGAGTAAACCTGTCGGAAGAAAGTGCAAGGATACTGGCCACAAACTCTGAGTTGGTGGGCACGCTGACGCGGTCCTGTAAGGACGACACCTTCCTCCTCCCCGCGCCGTTGCAGAGAAGGATATTGGAAATAGGTGAGTCTGCACTGCGGGCGCCACCAGGATCCCTGGAGTCCACCTGTGGGCTTGGTGCTCTGTGACTTTGATAGAGACTCAGCGCGCTCCCCCGCGCAGCTCTGTGGCAGGTGTGTGGGCTACTGGTGAGCATGCCTCTGTCTTGGCGTGGGGTTCGCCTGAGTTGTGACTTTCGTGTGATTGATGGCGACGGTTCTCAGGTAGTTGACTGTCCTCCACACGCTTCCTGCCTGGGCGGTCCCTTGAGTGCACAGAGCAGTGTCGGGAGAGACGGTGAGGTAGCAGCCCCAGGAGGACGTGCAAATGATCTTAAAATACTTTTTTTTTTGCCTGCTCTGTAGGTAAAAAGCACGGCATAACGGAATTACATCCAGATGTAGTAAGTTATGTATCCCATGCCACACAGCAAAGGCTACAGAATCTTGTAGAAAAAATATCTGAAACGGCTCAGCAAAAAAACTTCTCCTATAAGGTAATGGGGCCGTTTTCCTGAGGAGAATGTCTTTCTATTGTCGACCCCTGACCATCCAGGCTGTCTGGAAGCCTGTCCACGCTGGGCAGAGGGTGGCGGTGTCCCCAGTGCTCTGTATACCTTGCACTTACTTTCTTAGCCACTTGGGGCTTTCAGCTGCTCTGTAGGCCTGGGCTAGGGAGGAAGGCCAGGAACTTGAGGGAGGGTGCTCTGATGGGAGGGCACCTTGGAAGGTGGACCCACAGCTTCAGAAATCACAGAGTCTTTGCCCTTCCTCAGTCCCAGGGCTCCCAGAACCTGCAGGTGCCAGGCCCTTCCCCGGCCTTGATCGGAACCTGCAGGCTTCAGATCTGCAAGGCAGAATGTGCCTTCCTTTTTAGCAGTCACACCAGTGGCTGGGAGCTGGGAGAGGCAGATGCTGCACACTCCCTGGGCCAGGGTCAGCACCTCAGAGCAGTGTCTAGAACACACTCAGCCACTATGTCTTTAAATGTTTCTGTGTTACTGTGGGAAATTTAAAATGAAGTCAGATGATGTCAAAGTATATAAAACAGAAACTGTCCCGAGAGACCCCAAAATAAACAGCATGAGACTTCACCCTGACCGTGGGCAGGTGGAGTCATCCAGGGAGACAAGAGGAGGCTGTGTCCACTGCAGATGGGAACAGACCAGGGGAGGGGGCTTGTGCACAGACCATCCAGCCTGCTGGGTTCCAGATTCGTGACAGACAATATTTCTGCTTTTTTTTTTTTTTTTTTTCTGTAGGATGATGACAGATACGAGCAGGCAAGCGATGTCCGGGCTCAGCTCAAATTTTTTGAACAGCTTGATCAGATTGAAAAGCAGAGGAAAGATGAGCAGGAGAGGGAGATCTTGATGCGGGCAGCAAAGGCAAGTGCTGTACTGCTCCCAGCCCCCTGGGGACCCCCGTCCGCTCTCACAAACTTGCCTACAACTCTGGGTTCTGAGTAACCAAAGCGGTGTTCGGTGCTGGCCTTGAAGGAAAGGTGGCCGGGCACTTGTACGTGGAGCTGCAGAGTGGTGCCTGTTTGCTCTGAGCGCTCTCTGCCCTCAGAATGTAGAGCTTCCTTAGATTCCTGCTGCCTCCGTCCTCCAGGTCCGGTCCACCTAAGGCAGAGTGCAGTGGGGCAGCCTCCTGCTGCACACCAGACCACAGCTCAGGCCCACACTGCCTTCAGAGCCAAGCATGGCGCCTCGTGCTCATCGCGAGAGTCAGACTGAGGCCACGCTGCCAGCAGGGTCTGCTGGGAAGCGCAGGGGATGGGGCTTGGTGCTGGGACCCAGCCCTTGCCCCAGCCCTAGAGCCTGCAAGGCTGTGCCGCCTCACCCACTTTGCACCCAATGAGCCAGACCTGTGCTGAGCTGGTAGCGTCAGTCAAGACCATCCCTAAGATCCACTGCATCCGGTGGCACTGATGTTTCTTAAGCATAATGATTTTCCCCATAGTGTGTAGCGGAGGTTTCCAGCCTTTGGCTATAAGCATGTAAAAAACTTATAACCTAGAAAATGTTGTGAAATGAATAAGGTTAACACATCTGTTAGGAGATGCACATTTAGGTCATAATTTGTTTTTCCATTTAATTTTCAAAAATAGTCTCGATCCAGACAAGAAGACCCAGAACAATTAAGACTGAAGCAGAAGGCGAAAGAGGTGAGCTCACCAGCCACAGGGTCCACTGTCACTTAAAGTCCATGTCACCTAGACTGACAGGAGAGACCACATGGGGTTCCTGAGCAGGGCGTTGATGTAGCTATTTAAAATGCTGCAAATGTGAAGATATACCTGTCAACGGTGTTTTCTGGTGCAGACAGCTTGTATCCTGCTTTTAGGTTTAACAGTGACTGTGGGTGGGACTTATTCTCTATACTTAAACTTGTTCTTACTCTCTGGGTGTTTTAAGTTGATCATCTATTGCTTTTAAAAAATACTTATTTTTCTAGTTACAGAATATGCTCACTGTTAAAAAAAAAAAGCCAAAATACTAAAGAAGTTACAGTTTAGAAAATTTCAGAGAGCGCTTGATATCTGCACTTTGCTTTTGCTGTTAAGTAAAAACATACATGAAGCGATGGTCCTTGTTTCCTTTCCAACATAAAGATGCAGCAGCAGGAGCTGGCACAGATGCGACAGCGGGATGCCAACCTCACAGCCCTGGCAGCGATCGGGCCCAGGAAAAAGAGGAAAGTGGACTGTGCAGGGCCGGGATCCGGAGCAGAGGTATGGCAGCACTGAGGGGGCGGTCTGGAAGGGAGCGTCGAGACCCTTCCTCAGCAGGCAGACTCGCACCGGAGTCCATGCTTAAGTTCACATGTCCTCCCACCGCCTTGGAGTCTGTTTTGCATTTGAAACTGACATTCAGTTCCACTTTCTTGTGGGTATCGATAGTTTGCACAAAGGGAGGTCACTATGGTTTGCTGGTGAGACTTGGGAGGGACTCCAGGGCAACTCGCACTCTAAGCAGCGAGCCTGAGGCTGGCCGCGTGCCGGAAGGGCAGGGGCCGGAGAAGACCTGCAGGAGGGTGAGCTGCACAGGCTTGGGGAAGAGCCCTCACGGATGTCCCTATGCATCCCCGTGCCTGAGTTTTGTTAGTTTCTTGTTTGTTACAAACCTAGTTTTAATACATTGTTATTTTTGCTGTAATTTGTTAATTTTTTTTAAAGTAAATTTCATGGAAAAAAACACATCATCTCTTATTTACCTGTTCACTTGCCTTCTCTGGTGCACTTGCTTCCTTGCTACTGTTAGAGATACCGAGGTGCTGCAAGGAATCAAATGGTGCTGGGAGGTGGGCAAGGCAGGCCTTCCTCCTGCCCCAGGAGTGCACTTCAGAGCCTGGCTGGCAAGCACACCTGGGCGGGCCGTCCACCCAGTGCCGCCCTTTTCTCTTAATAGGAGGAGCTGAGGGTTACAGTCCATGCTATTGGCTAATTTTAAAATTGGGTGGGCAAAGGGAAGGGCTATAGTTAAAATGTCGACAATTCAATCTTATGTCCCAGTTAAGGTGCAATGCTATATTCTGTAAATGGACCGTCTAACTTTCTGTTTCCCACAGGTCCCCTTTTCCTTTGTCACACCTCTTGGTTTCGTTTTCATTGTACCCTTTGGCATTACCGTCCACCTAGTCATGCTGCTTCCTGAGGTGGAAAGGCCCATGGTAATGACTTCTGCCCTTTCAGCAGAGGGCCATCCCGGTGAGGAGGAGCATTTGGGAAGGTCCTTTCCAGCTCTGTTGAAGTTGTCTTCTTTCCAGGTCTTGATTAGAATCAAGTCTCCAGGCTGGAAGTGATGAATTGCCAACTCTAGAGGAGGGGTCTGAGCAGCAGCTCATAATTTCTTTACCCCCCACCCAAACCAAACACAACAGAACAAAACAGAAAACCCAGAAGGTCTCAGATTGACTCAGAACAAACGTGTGATTCTGACAGAGTTTTTTCTGATATTTACCAGTAAGTCCTGTATAAAAACCCTAACCCTTTATAACCTCCCAGTTGTACTGACTTTCAGCAGAACTGACACATGTATCTCAAGCAAAAGAACCATTGTCGTATCTTTTCAATGTCCGTGTGTGGCTGCGTTTTCATCATACTTTCCTGCCAAGTGTCTAAGACCAAGGTCGTGGAAATTGACCTCTTTGGTACACACTGTTAGAGTCCGCGGAGATTTGTCAGGGATCCCTCTGGGAACTTGTGAGAAGCCTCTTGGCTCCTTTAGCTTTTCCTTTACTAGTTGTGCCATCTGCTGGGATTGTTAGGGTCTTGCTGACCACATGTTGATTCCCTTGGAAGCATCAGGGACATTTCCTGTCCAGTAACCCTCCTTTTTTTTCAGAATGTGCACTGGTTGGCTTCCTGCTCTCTAGGATCCTCTTGATCCCCCTGATCAAGGTCAGGTGACTCACTGGATGTGTAGAGCCCTTACAGAAGTCCTGTTGTTCCCTGACTTTTGGCTGACCTAAGAGGACGAGGGCCAAAATATTGGCTGTTTTTACCTTAGCCCTTCTACTTCTTTAACTTTGGTCTTCAAGTTGTTTTGAACATCCAGCAGGCCAGTTTCACAGTCTTAACGTGGGAGTCAATATCAGTACTGGAGGCCAGCTTTATATCCTGTCTGTCCTGTAGGTGAGGCTTATTGTCTCAAATCAGTGGCTCTGCAAAACATTAACAAAGTTATACATTTTTACAAGAAAAAATACAAAATGAAATCAGCAGTAGCAAAGAACATTCAGTTTGTGTTATAGCTATGAACCAAGAAACATGATTTTTATAATCCTAAACCTTTATTTTATTTGGTTTTTTATTATGTCCCCTGTTTATTTTGAGATGACAGTAATCTTTACAATAAAAATCTCTCCTTTGAACACAACTTTAAATGAGCTAAGTAGGTCTAGTCTACTTTGGAGCCATGCTAGTAGGGTGAGAGACAGAGCCTTATCTCAGGTAAGGAGGGGCTCTGGACAAGTAATACAGTACAGCATTACATCTGAAACATGAATCAAACAAAAACTAAGAGAACTCCTAACTGTTTTTTTGATAGAAAAAGTGGCAAAGTGCTTTCGTGTTTTGCAGTGTAAGCCTTTGAACAAATCAGACTCTCCTTATTACCTCACAAAAATACATTTAAATTCCTATTCCAGTGTAAAAAGTAGCACAAAATTTTATATATCTTACTGATAACAGGTTACCTTTATCCAGTTACAGAACATTAAATGACATAAATAAATGCTCAGTAGCTGGGCACGGTGGAGCACGCCTGTAATCCCTGTGATTTGGGAGGCTGAGGCAGGAGGATTGCGAGTTCAAAGGCAGCTTCGGCAAAAGTGAGGCACTAAGCAACTTAGTGAGACCCTGTCTCTAAATAAAATACAAAATAGGGCTGGGGATGTGGCTCAGTGGTTGAGTGCCCTTGAGTTCAATCCCCAGTATCCCTCCCCCCAGATATAAATAAATACCTGATTAAATTTGCTATTTCTATGTAAATCTGAAGGAGATTACCATTACAGATCACTTTGGTTTGGAGAATACCAGCATGGTAAAGTATTCCTTTAAGCTTTTTGGTACATACGTTATCTCTAGTCACATATATTTAGGGTGTCTGGCAAAGCTGACTCAGTTCATGTTTTAAAAATTTGTTCAGAAGAGAATGGATCCCCATTAATGTCTCTCTCATGCTTTTTTTTTTTTTTTTTTTTTTTGGTACTGGGGTACTTTTACCATAAGCCACATGCCCGTTCCTTTTATTTTTTATATTTTATTTAGTTACAGGGCCTCACTAAGTTGCTGAGACTGGCTTTGAACTTGCAATCCTCCTGCCTCAGCCTCCTGAGCCACTGGGATTACAGGCATGGCTGTTGTGCCTGACCACTCACGTTTCTGTCACGCGCACATGACCTCTCGGGTGTCCCGACCACCCAGGAGACACCTCTCCCTTGAGCTCAGGAGTGGATTTTCCTGCTTTGGTTCTTGTGTGGATTTACTTGTTCACTGCGTGCTTGTTGGGCCCGTGTGGGCCTCAGGGACCACAGTTTCCTCCCCCCTTCCAAGGCCACGACAGGTAGTGGGACAGGCCTCCTCTGAGGAAGGGGTTCCCATGACCCCCGGGTGATGTATGGAGCCCCATGTTAGGTCCAGTGGTCAGCAGTGCTGAGGTGCTGTAAAGAGACCAGTGTGGTTGGGATTGGGCTGGCCAGTCAAACGCACTTCTTCCTGAGGGCGTGCTGCTGCCCTGGCTGACAGGTGCACCAGCAGCACCCACCAGCTTTCCTCCCTGATGGGGGCCGCCCCCTGCTCTGATAGGAGGAGCTTGGGGTTACAGTCTACGCCACTGGCTGGCTTTAAAATTGGGTGGGCAAAGGGGACATATCTACAATTAGTTACGAGTTAGTGTCTACAGTTGGGTTTTATACTGCCACGTCCCTCTGGCTCCAAGGACAGCCTGGTCCTCAGGCTCCCCGCATGCAGGTCTGCTGGGGACCCAGGCTCCACTTCCATTGACTTGAATGTAAGTAGTTGTTTCATAACATTCTGAGGGACGTCCTCACTGGCCCCCACTCCTGTCCACTCAGTGGCTGGCGCTCATCCTCATTTTTGAGGGATGTTCTCAGGGCTCTGAGGTTCTGGGTGGTTGTTGTTTTCTCCTGCAGGACTTCAGGGAGGTTTTCCTGCTGGGTTCTGTGTTGAAGCGTGGTTCCTGGATGGGCATTCGGCCTCAGGTCCTCTGAGCTGAGGCTCCTAGGTCAGCTTTCCACCGTGTTGGAAGCAGTACGGCCCTGTTTCTTCAGTGCTTTTTCTCTCTGGTCTTCTGCGTGGACTCCAGTTCCGGTCATGTCAGACCTGTGGGTGTTGCCCGCAGGCACTGAGGCCTGTGTCCACTTAGTCGCATGTGTTTCTCTATTCCGTAGCCTGATGATTCCTGCTGCTCTGTCTTTAGGTTCTCAACCAGACGGAGTTCTGCCATCTCCAGGTGTCTGTTAGGCACCAGGGAAGTTCTCATTTGTGAATGTATTTTTCAATCCTAGGATTTCCGTTTGGTTCTTTTTTCATTTCTAATTAGTGACTGGGGTTTCCTGTCTGCCCCTTACTGAGGCCATATTTTCCTGTAAATCTTTGAACATAACTTGTGAAGTTTTTGTCATGTCCGATACCTGGGCCGTCTTATTCATTCTCTGTTGATAACTTCCTCCTGTCTGGGGTCAAGTTTTCTTGCTTCTCTGTGCATCTGTGAGTATGGTTGGGAAGCTGGCTGCTGTGGGTGTCACGGGGAGGCTCTGAAGCGGCTGAGTCTTGTTTAGCAGGCAGACAGTTGTTAGCGGCACATCACTTGGATTGTGTGGGCTCTTTCACTGTAGGGAGCTGTGAAAGGTCAAGGTGTTTCTGGGCACGGTCTTAGACTTGGCGACGGTGGATCTTGCCCTGGGGTGTGACCCTTACTCTGAGGGAGAGCCCTTTCTGGCGTCTCAGCTGGCCGTGCTGCTTGGGCAGGCTGGGCTCAGCTCCTCTGCAGCTCTTCTGCCCTGAGCTCTGTCGCAGCTGCTGGTTGCTGCACTTGGGTTGTCTTGCCCACTCACCAGTGTGGAGGTGGGTTCTGGGGCTGTTGGCAGCCTGTGGACCAGGTGTGCTGGGGCTCGCCTGCCAAGTGCCAGCAGTGACCTCCTGGTGTGGAGACTGGGTTTTTGGCCGTGGGGTATCCAAGTGGTCCGGGGGAACCCTCCCAGTGCGAG